GTAACATTATGCATCGCAAATGCCTTCTGCAGAATTCCCGAGTTCAATCCCCAGAAAAAAAAAAAAAAAAAAGACAATGGATAAGGGCTTGAGAAAGAAGAGTAAAAGAAAGGAAATTCTTGAGATAAGCCTAAGGAGTGAGAATACCAAGGCATTAAGCTGTGCATCAGGGCTTTCTAGTGTTCTAGATGTTTCAGGATCTTATTATGGGACATGATGCACTTTGGGTTTTTTAAGTGTCTGGTAGGAATCATTTTCTTGATAACCCAAGTTTCTGGATAGAGTGCATGTATAAAATACAGGAATGACTACAGGGCAGATGTGGACATCCTAAGAATGATGTTATCATTCAAGCAGATAGTGCTGAGTGCAGATGTGTCTGCTTTGGTGTGTGTTTGGTGGGGGAGGTATCTCGGAACCTCTGATTCCAGGACCCTTTGATGTCCCTTTTCAAACACTGACAAGTAGCATCTGAAGACTCAATGTTTGATTGTTTTGTCAATGATATGACAAGCAAGTACCAGATAGAAACTTCTTCCAGAGTACCTTTAAAGCCTGGCAACAAGGGACTGGAAAATGATTTTTCCTTTGGGCTTAAAGTTTTGCTCTCTTCTTATTTTTCTTCTCTTTCTTCCAGACCAAAAGTACCAGCTTCAACCAAATCGAATCCTGTTACAACCCAGTGAGTAGAACCATCAGTGCTTCTGGCTTTCTCCCAGAAAGACGCCAGGCGTTCCAGGGAGGGAGTATCTTGCGGAGTGCAGATCCCCGGGCTGTGACGGAGCTCCACAGTTAGTCCGCCGGCCAGTAGGGGACAATTTGGGCTATCAAAGGGAGGCTGCGCCCAGCATGGGAATCCACTTCGGTGCCAATTTAGGGAGAGGAAGTTTCTTTCCGAGCGAGCGAGCGGGATTCCGGGAGAGAGTGCTCCTTTTCTCACTGGGAGAAAAAGCACATTGGAAACTGGGACCGGGAATGAAGTTAGCGACACCTCTGCCTGAGGTCCAGGCGCTTCTGCTCTCAAGTGCTCTTGGCAGCGGACTCTAGGGGAAATGGGCGGAGTGAACGTGGGTGACCTTTCCTTCTACTCTAGCGCCTTTTGCTGCGCTCTCAAAGTCCCTCCTTCCTGTCGGGTGGTCCCCTTTCCCTCTCCTCAACCATGATCTCTTCCTTCTTATTCAAGACATCTTTGTTGCGTCTTCCGTTCCTCCCCCACCTTCCTCGCAGCCCCTTTCATTCAATTTATACTAACTCTCCCCCCTCCTTTTTTTTTTTTTCTCTTCTTCTTTCTTTCTGGTGTTTCCTTGTTCCTAACGTCGCGGCCGGTGAGCAGTCAGATTGTCTCATTAAAATCGAGCACCATACCTTCAATCCCACCAGTGACTGCCTGTCACTCTCCGAGTCTTCCTTCGCCTTGAAAACGAATACTACCCTCGTTTTCCATTGCTCAGGCTACTCAGGAGTTCAGGTAAGCGTTAGGCATGGGGGCACTAGCCTTTTTAATACCTGGGGACTAACTTTAATTCAACCGGGGCGTTAGTGATTTTCATTCAGGTTTTATCTTTTGAAGAGCAAAGAAGTCAGGTAAAAGTTGTGGGTTGTCAATTAATCTCACACTGACTGACTGGGTTGAATTATGGTTCTAAGCTGTTCCTGGGTGGTTTCAAGGTGTGATCAGTGAGCCTCCTACATCAGAATGTCCTGGCTGCTGTTCAAAATGTCAATTCTCAGCGACACAATCCAGACCTTTCAAAATCAAAATTTCAGCCTTATGCCAGGCTCCTTAAGGAAATTCTTGTCCATTTCAAAGTTCAGCAACCCTGCTTGGATTTATAACTTAGCAATTGTATGCTTCTTTCTTAAAATGTTACATTATATATTAAATCTCTACCCTATGTTTTGCTTGATTGCTTGCTTGAGTGGGACTGCAGTCTCTTTAACATAATAAATTTTTGCAATACAGTCACATGCATTTGAATGAATGCGTAATTTTAAAGATGGAGACATTATAGTGGAGAGTTAGGAGTAGGAACTCTGGAGTCAGCCTGCCCGACTTTGAATCCTAGCCCTTTAACTTAGCTTTTAACTATGAAGATCTGGACAAGTTTTTAGCATCTATGTGCCTCAGCAAAATAAGTAATCTGTTCTTAAGTCCTACATAGGCTGTCTGTAAGAACTAAATGAGTCACCATATATAAAAGCACTTGGAAAGATGCCTGGTACGTAACAGGTACTCAAAAAATATTTCAGTTGGTGAATAAAGTAGAAAATTTATGTTCTTGAGATAATTTTAAGAAAGACAAAGATAGACAATGTAGATATGCATGATTGATGTTGATTAACCCAGTAGACTTAACAAATCTGCTATCCACATGTCTAAGTAGCCAAGACTGTCATTTTTTACGTCTCAAGGATTGAATCATAGGTTTCAACCAAGCTAGGAGTTGAAACCACCTGTATTGAGCTTAAGTGAAAAACTCAAGACCAAGCAGTCATATGAGAAATCTGTTTGGCTCTATGTCTTCCTTCAAAGGGAACTGACAAGCCTACAAGTCAACAGATGGTCACAATAAAATTCACTCATATAAGAAGAGCACAAAGGACAGACTTGATCAAGTTCTTGAACAGAATATTTTTGAAAAAGGGAGAGTCTGGAGAAAATTATTTCATCCCCAACCTTGCTCAAACAGAAAGTCTGAGACCAATAATAATTAATTAGGATTTAGCAGAATTAGACTGTAAGATTCTTGCTTGGTAACCCAGGATTCTCTATCAATCTGTGTGTGCCTAGGAAGGAGGCTCAGCCTGTCATTACTCAAGGGTTAAGAAATGCACCAAAATCTTGTGCAGAATAAGTCTTCAGGTTGTCTGTGGCACATGTAAGGAGTGGTAGGGATGGGGAGCAGGAATAATTTGGTTTCAAATAATAGACTAGTTTTACTGAATTCTAGTAAGACACAGAAGATAAGTCCTATCCTTTGAGAATTTGTGCTCTTGTCAGAGAGATTATGACATCATCAATTTATTTATTCACTTAATCATGCAAAAAGTATCCAGTGTTTCCTATGTATAAGTCACTGTACTCAGTGCTGTGGGGAAATACCAATGATGCAACCATAAGAAGAGAAGGTGAAAGCCAAGTGAAATGACACATACTCTTAAGTATTAGAAGTTTCAAAAAGAAAGATCTGAGCAATTTGCAGAGGTTTTGTGGAGGAGGTGCTGCTTGGCCTTTTAGCAAGAGTATGTGGGTGGAGAGAGAGAGAAGGGCTTTCCTCTGCAGAAAGCGCTCACACTCAAGCAGTTGAGAGGCGGATTTTCTGGGAGAAGATGACATAATCTGCCACTCAAAAGTTGTAAAAGATAGTGAAAATTATTTTTTTTTTACTATTGATTCTCCTATTCAACAGAAAAACAATACCCAGGAAATGAAACAAGAAGGAATCAACAGTAACTGCCTCAACCAAACCTCACAAATACTAGGATGGTGGCGTCGTTTCTCTCGACTTTTAGGAAAATAAAACTATTTTAATTCCTGTCATATTTTATAACACCAAAAGAAATAATTTTTATTAAATATATAAAATGTTAACTCTGTGACATTTAAAAGAGCACTAATAGTTATTCTTTAACTACAGAAAGGTTTCTTAACTTATTTTGGGGTCAGTCTGTATTGTTTAATGTGGGTTATTTAATGTGGGAAGTATTGATCCTCTAATGTCAGGGGACACTTCTGTAACATTGGTGACTGGCTTCATGGCACTAATTCTCATCTGAAACTGTACAAGCCCTACTCTAGGGGGAAAACAAATAAGTATAGTAGAAAGAAACTTAAAAAAGAAAAGTGTTGGATTCAATGACAGCATCTAACCCTCTGTTTTAAAAACAGGCATTTATTTTACATGTTATGATTCTTTTCCTGTTCTCATACTAAAACTCTATAGAAGAAGAAAAGCAAAGCAAATGAGAATGTACAAATCATGGAAAGTATAACGAAGCAATTTGAAAGAAGTTTCAAGCGAAGTGTTATGAAAATATTCTAAGCCAAGTTTTAAAAATTATCTAACAGACCAGAGTAGGATATGCAAGTAGATTCTGAAGACGTACCTTTGTTACAGCTATTATATATATAATAAATCTTAAATTTTATATAATATATTTTTAATTTATTTTGTGAGCACTTTTGAAAATGTACATGTTGCTTTATAACTGACATTACATATTTCTTAATAAAATAATTTTCGAATTAGTTTTGTCTGAATATTCTTTTAAATTTAGTTACAGGCCAATTTTCACACAGTTTTCTAAGAGACACCACTTTTCTTCAGGTCTTTACCTCCCCTCATGCTGAGACCCTATTGATCACACACCCCTTTGTGCTATGCCTGTTGGTCCTGCTTATAAGAGAAAATATCTATAGAGAGGTACCTAAAAGTATTTAGAGACAGATGATTGCAGCACCTCACTTTCCTCAGTTGTGTCATTAATCCTTCCTTCTTTCTCCCATTGAGCTTTTCTCACACCTGGAAGAGACAAAACAAGCAAAAGTTAACTGAAGATGATAAGTTCATTCTTGAATACCTGATGCAAGCTGGGCCATAGACACCCCTTCATTCATCCTCAACTCAGAATCTTCCAACACTGATTGGAGAGAGAACCGTAGCCATAGAGTCTAGGCATAATAGAGCACATGGGAATACACTGACTTTTTTCTTTTGAGTAGAAATGTTCCCCTGAGCACTGTCCTAGTGTTGGGGCTAAGCCACAATAGAAGAGGGGAAGTTCAATGTCCCTAAATACATTTTTCCCACCAACAAGTTAAGAGGAAGCTCATATTATGTATCCAATCAGCATTTAAGGACACTTGCTGAGGGTCAAAGTTTCAGCTGAATACTCAGAATACGGAAGGAAATAAAACACAGTCCTTGCTAGAGAAGCTCGAAGTGTAGATGAATAGGCAGTTTTCTTCTCTCAGAGGAAAATCGGGACATACTCATTTCCCAAAAATCTTCCTCCAAATTAGCCTTGGACCAGGACCTTAACTGCCATCAGAAAAGAAACTCCTTAGAGTAATCTTTAATTTTCTGGGAAAAAGGTTGAGAGAGGGATGGCACTTTAAATCTATGAACTCCATCTTAGTAGGGATTCATTGACTCCATTTTTTTTTTAAATGTGAAAAACATTACTGTCACAAATTTTCTCCAATTTTGGGCCTAATTCCTCTAAAAGAAGAGAAGAAAGAAGGATTGAGGAGAAAGAAGATTATTCAAAGTCATTCCATTAAATGCAATTTCTTTGCGTCTTCTGCTTTCTCTTATGAGGAAGAGATGGCAAAGGTTATCCCATTATGTTGATTATGAACTTAGAATCGGTTTGGAGCAGATACTCAGATACAAGGATATATGAAATAATTTGGGGTAAATAGATCAAATGGATATGGAGTTTGAGGATGCTCTGGTGATATCTTGTTTTGCTTATGTGGCACTGGAGATTGAAACCCATGCTTTGTGCACAAGACAAGTGCTCTACTGCTGAACTACATCCCCACCTCTGCTAATATCTTTTGAGTACAGCCCATATTTCATTCTGGTACAATATCTTACACAGAATTAATTCTTGATAAATATGCTGAGAAAATGAATAGATGAGTTAAAATGAAATCAAAAGTTAAATACATTTTTCTCTCAAATAAAACTTTTCCTTAAAGGCCTTCTGAGTAAAAAACCAAGTTGGCAGAAGCCACTAACAGATAAACTATCTGATGTTACCTGATTCCCTCTCTCATTATTTCTGTAGATATGCAAAAGGAAAGGAAAATGATTGAGTCCCCAAATTAATCAGTGTCATTGCAGTCTGTCACCAGCTTCTTTTCCAACAACCTGCCAACTCCTCCCCTCAAAAATATTAAACTTATATAGAAAGAATCAAACATACACTGAGACTTTATTTTTTGTTATCTCTAGGCACCCAGATGAGAACGTGAATGATTTGAAAAATCTTAAAATCCTGTGATAAGATATTTATCATTTGTGAACCTTGTAGCCCAGTCCTTACTTTTAGTAATGAAACCCCTACATTTTGTAAGAAACATTTATTTTTATAATCTTTCACATAGTCCTCCAGAATTCACATATGTTTTAGCTAGATTAGCATGAAATGGCAAGCAACTAGTCAGTCTCATTGGCTTGTGACCACAGGAGTTAATTCTCATTTACATTACAAATTGGCAGCTGCAAGCCAGATCTAGGTCTTTCCTACATACCCTCTTATTCCAGGATCCAGACTAAAGAAGCAGTCATTATCTGGGGTATGCCTTTCTCATGTAACAGAGGCAAAGAATGATGAAGAGGATTGGCAGTAACATGCAATGACTCTGAAAGTTTCTGTTAAGACATGCTACATGTTCGTTCATGTACACCAACCAAATCAAAGGCATGTCAAAGCCTCCCTATCCCCACCTCACCACAAATTTACTGATAGTATCAGGACAAAGGATAGAAACATGAAATCTTACACGGGAGAGCATAAATAGCAGGGACTCTAAAGTACACAACTCCTCACCCTGGAAGGGAATATGATTAATATAGAAACAGCCCACATTTTTAGCATTTTGTTACTTAAATGTAGCTTTCTTGTTGAATATTTACCAAGTACCTCTTTTGTTCCAGTGTTCTGGTTGCTTGTTATATGTATCAATGAACAAATAGAAACAACAACAACAACAACAACAACAAAAACCTCCCCTCATGGAGCTAACCCATATTGAAATAAAATAAATATTGAAATAAAATAAATCTAATAAACAAGTTAATAATGCAGTAAGACATTATTCTCTTTTTAAGTTTGAATAAATATTTGGAGATACTTAGCATTTTGTTTACTTCTGAAGTACATCCCAAACATGGGTAGAAATGTGCACTGCTATTGAGAAACTCAGGGTAAAAATGAAAGTACAAATGAGTACAACATATCATGGACCCAAACAACAAGCTATCATTCTGTTAGTATCTGCTCTTTAATTATCTGAACATCCCAAGTGTTCAAGACTTTTATGTGCCAAGTGTTATAAAATACATCAAGATTTTCTTGTTCAAGAATGTACGGGTCAGATGTTCAAATTCGCTGACCAGTTACTCTCATTTTGTAATAAAATAATAACATTTCAGAACTGGAAGAAACATAAGAGATTATTTACTTCTGCCTGTGTTTATTAGATGTTGTTGATAACACCCTTTTCATCATGGTCAAGTACAAATATGATCACAAACATTAGTCACTTAATCCAAATCTTATGCCAGAAAGAATTTTTCATAAATGAAAGGCATATGAAAATAAAATAATAAGAGGTTATTTTATATGTTGAATTTTGCTCCTGGGTTCTAAGGTCACCATACTTTTAGTTCATGTTCAAATGCTCAGAATCTGTAAGTCTTCCTTTCATTCGGGCAGCTGGTGGCTAAAGGGTGGAGTCTGACATTCACCACAGCAGAATCAGGCTTCTTCAGCGTTCCAAGGCCCTTAGCACCATCATCTGCCTAGACAACCATTTCCAAGATGACGAGATTTGTCTGCTTTTGATAGCAGATCTCAGGGTATTAACCCAATCCTAGTAAAACTTACCTTAATCATTTTTTCCAGGCATCTGTACTTATTCAAATTACCCAGATAATCACAATCCTAGTAAAACTTACCTTAAGTAAGGCACCTGCACTTATTCAAATTACCCAGATAATCAGTTCTACTTCCCAATGAGTCTAAGAGTATTCTTCTTTGTCACCTGTAAATGTCCCATTGAAGTTGTCACCCAAGGAAATCAAACATATGGGCCTCCTCACTATATTAATGAGCTACCTCTATTCAGGTTTTCAAAATCATGATGATAAAATCTGCTCCAAACATATCTGTTGTCTCTGCAGAGAAGCAAGTCATAAGCACCAGTGCCAGAAGAAAACCAGGCCCAGACAGATACAGTGATATCCTGAATCAGATGGTCAACAGCTAACTTCAGTATTCTTTCTATTACTCTGTTCTTTCTTTTACTCTCTCTTTCTCATTTGATTAGGATGCTGTCTTATAACCACATCTGTTTGAGGAGGATACCCCATATGACTTGGAATAAGACAAAGTTAGTATGTAGGGTTCTCCTTGGCTGCTGTCATGGAGAATCACCACCTTTCCCACACCTGTGGCACCCAGCTGGGCCACACTGATGTGCTGGTGCAACACACCATATTGGTACAGTCTGCTGTGCTGCCCACTATCAATTTACCTACTCTACTCTGAGGCTGGCATGCTACTTGCAAGAAAGATCATTCTCTGCTTAGTCCTCTGCTCCCTGAGATGTCTGGATCCTGGTATGAGAATCTTTATTCAACATAGGCTATTCCCTAAAAATATTCTATCTCTGTAAGATGGCTAGTAAGAATAACAACTTGACATACTTGTCCACTTTCCTTCTACTGCTTCCATTAATTTATGTCAACAAATGCAAGCATAATGCAGACTATTTTACTTCTCACATACTCTCTTTATTACTGAATATGGATAAAACTTCTGGGATTTTTAAAGTTTGCTTCCACTTGTCTCCTACCTTTGCATACTAATTCAGAACTAGAATCCTCAATTATATACTCTAGGCCAAGGCAAAATAATATTAAAATGATTATGACACTACATCATCCATTTTCATAATTAGGAAACAAATTCTGATAAAATCAAGACTATTATACTTTATGTAGTAAGTCAAGAGAAAAACCATGATAATTTTGTGTTGCACAAAAATAGTTTTTACATAGAAACACATAAAGAGGAACAGATGAAATTGATAGATTAGAATGGAGTTGACTTAGAGTTTTTTAATATATGCCAAAGAATATATGTAAATATATTAACCTTTCATCTAGGTTTTGAAGTTGCCAAGCATTCCATAGCTCATAGTTACATTGTTGGGACATTGGGGTGATTTTCTCTCCTGTTTTTTTTCCCCCAAGATATCTATTTAAGATCAGAAAACTGATTTCTAGACAGGATCAAACATGTAGATTTAACTCCATATTCAAGCTGACTTTTTGTAAAGATAGTCAATTTAGAAAAAATACATCATATGAATGAAAGCCTGCTTCCAAAATTAAATGTGCAATTATGTTTTCTTTATTTGTCCTCAGTAAGAA